CATTGAGATGTTTTTGATTGCTAATACTAAGATTCAATGTTTGAAGACCACCTGACAAAGAAAGACCATTTTTCTACAGAACTACATGTTCTGTTGAAACTTAAATAGTTTTCTTCACTTAGAAAAAAAAACGGAAAGCTTTCTTTCCTTAACAAAAATCAGGTGATATTTCTATACCTATATTTCACTTTTCCAAAGTAGAATCATAGATCTGGAGCTTCAAGGCATCTCTGAGGCTATCTAGTCTAAATTGTTTGTTTTACAGATAAGGAAACCAAATCTTAGGAATGTTAAGTGTGGGACTTGCCCAAGACTGCAGAGGGATGTTAACCTAGGTCTTTTGACGTCAAAACTACTGCTCTTTCCATCATACCATGTTGCTTCCTGTTTGGTGAGGACAACATCATTGGAAAGTACAGTTTAAAGGATGTAATGATTCTCATACCTATCCCTGAAAGAAGGTTAATTTAAAACTGTATGTTTCTAACCACGGAAACAGAAATTTAATCAAAAAGTCAGCTGATCTGTTCAACAGGCAATGGTAAATGTAAGTATCAGATATACTAATAATTGAACTTTAAATCATGAGCCCTTCGCTTAGAGAAAAACCACTTGAGAAGAGAAATGGAATCATATCCATAGTACTTGGTATTGTATAACTCATACATTACAGAATTAGTGTGTATTAGTTGAAACTGAAGTGATGGATGTCATCATCATCATAATAGGCAAGAAGTATTTTCAAGGACTTAATTGCTCACAGTATTTTCCTAGGTACCATTATAAGTAATATACTTCATTCTCTGTGATCTTATAATTTCATATATAAAGGAGAATTTCTATGTTATTATCATGTATCAGGGCTGAAATGTCATTCCTGTATGTGCTACAAGGAGGTATAAGTCAGTCATAAAAATATTCATAGAAATTAACAACTAAAAAAGAGAATTTACTCAAGAAAACCAATGTAAAATTTTAAGTAATCATAGTTTCTCCATTATTTCTTTACATTTTTTCTCTTATCAAGTTAAGAAATCTAGTAATCTCCTGGCATAATAAAAACATATAATTCACTAAATGGATTAGAGGGATACATACATCCCTCATCATTTGGATTCACAATATTTACTATTATAACATTCATCCTCTTTCATAGTAATGGTAATTTCTTCATGGGTTATCCAAAGTCCATTGATAAAAGCACTATCATATGTGAATATATTTGCTGATGATGTATGTAAAAATTTAGTCATAAATTTCTAATACATATTTCTTTCACACTGGCAAGGGATGTAGTAGCAGCAGCAGCGGCAGCAGTAGTAGTATTATAAATACTAATATGTATTCTTTTCATATTGGCTAGGGATGTAGCAGCAGCAGCAGTAGTAGTAACTTCTCTTTATATAAGACCTTAAAGTTTATCAGATATTACATACATTGTATCTTTTGAGTCTTAAATAAAATTCAGTGAAGTAAATATTATTATTATATTATTCCATGAGATTGGCCCTGATGTCTTCTTGACACCAAGACCAGCACACTACCCACTAAAGTATACTATATACCACATTATGCTTTGAAGAAGGGTAAATATGTTATTCCTATTTTCAAAGGAAGGAAGTAGGAGGAATTGGTAAAGCATAGATCAGTGAGCATGATTTTCAAGTCTGGCAAAATTCTAAAACATATTATTAAAGGAATGATTTGTGAACATTTCAAAAGGAAAGTACTGAAAACTAAAAGCCAGCATGACTACATCAAGTATAGGTCATGCTAGACTAATCTTATTACTTTTTATGATAGGGTACCTAGACCAGTAGGTCAGGGAATGCTGCAGATATATTATTACTAGATTTCAGCAAAGCATTTGAAAAACTCCCATGCTATCCTTGTGGAAAAGTGGAGTGATGAGGACTAGATAATGCAATTAGAGAATTTTAGAACTAGGTGAAGTACTGGATCCCAATATTAATAAATAATGAGCAGGTAGATATGAACCCAGACGGTGGTTTCTAGTGGAGAGTCCCAGGGATGTGGATTTGTCCCTTTTCTGTTCAACATTTTAATCAAAGAATTTATAGAAGGCATAGGAGGCATACTTATTAAATCAGCAGATGACATAAAACTAGGAAGAACAGTGGGCACTTTGGAAGACAGACAGGATCCAAAAAGAGCTTGACAGGTTAGAAAAATGAACTGAATCTGACAAGGTGAAATTTAACAAAAGGCAAGGAGAGTTAGAAAGAACTCTGCTCAAATCCTACCTCAGACACCAGTTTTAAGTGACTCTGGGAAAGTCATTTAACCTCACTTTTGCTTGATTTTTTCATCTGTAAAATGGGGGCAATAATAGCACCTATTTCATCGAGTTGTTGTGAAGAACAAATGAGATCTTTATATGTAGAGTGCTTTGAAAACCTTAAAACAATCATTATTATGATCATCTTCAGCATCGTTCTCAACTAGGATCAATGTAAAATTCTCACTTGGGTTTAAAAAATCAACTTTACATGTACAAAACTGTGACTAAGACAATAGTTCCCATGAAAAGGATTTGAGTCTTTTCATGGTATGCCAACTCAATATTAGTACATGGCATGACATGGCAGCTAAAAGGTAATGCTATTTGAGACTACAGTGAAAAAGGCATAGCATCCAGAATATGAGGGAGGGAGGCAACAAATATTTATTAAGTATCTATGATGTAGCAGGCAGCGTGCCAAATGCTTTACAAAATATGGTCTCATTTGCTCCTCACAACAACTTTGTGAGGTAGATATTATTATCATCTCCATTTTACAGTCAGAGGCTGAGGCAAGTTAAGTTACTTGCCCAGGGTCACACAGCTAATAAGTGTCCAAGGTTGAATTTGAACTCAAATCTTCCTGATTCTAAACCCAGCACGTAGAGAATTGTGTAAGTGCAATGACAAGCTGGAGCACATCCAAGACAGAATGTTCAGAATGGTATCTGAACTACAGCTTATTATTTGGATGATGGAAATAAGAATGGAGAAAAAATTAGAGGAAGGCATACTTGAGGTGTTTTAAGGATCATCATATGGAAGAGAAATTAGACTTCTTTTGCTTGGACCCTGGTAATAGAACAAAACTTCCTTCTAACATTTTTGAGGAATCCCAAAGTGAAATGGGCTGCCTCAGAATGTAGTGGGTTTCTTACCTGAGATCTTCAAGTGAAGGGTAGATGAGGACTTGTCATGAATATTTGTTGTTTATGTGATTCCTATTCTGGTACAAGTTGGGCCAGAAGGACTCTGGGTTCCCTACCATCTCTAAGAATCCGTGATGATATGATCAAATTTAAGTATGTCTAGATATGTCCTAGTATGTGATAAAGACAAAAAGAATGTAGTGTACTGGCAAGAAAGGCTAGACAGATTCAGAGAAAGGAGAGATTGTTGTGAGTTGGAGTACCTGGGAAAGGCTTTACATAAATGATAAGGTCTCATGTAGGTTTTAAAAGATATAGAATTAAAAATTAGCAGTTAAGGAGCTGGAAGAAGCAAAGTGTACATGTAGAGTATGTATTCATAGAATTCATTTCTCACAACGGTTGGGGCCAAAAAAGCCTCATTCACTGGGGGAGATTCTTTTTAGTACATTTAATTTATTTAATGTTATTAAATGTAATAATTTAAATTTAAATAAATTTGAATTTAACTACATTTCCCAGAAGGCTATGCATGAGCACACGGCATGGCACCAACATCTTTTGCATACCACGATTGGGTAAGAAGGTTCTGCCATCTGAGAAAACTAAGTTGCACAGGTGTAGCTTTGCTGGTGCGCTGGCCACTGGCCACATTCCATTTTGGGGCATTTGGGGATGATAATAATATCTACCTCACAAAGTTGTTGTGAGGAACAAATGAGACCATATTTTGTAAAGCATGTGGCACGCTGCCTGCTACATCATAGATACTTAATAAATATTTGTTGCCTCCCTCCCTCATATTCTGGATGCTATGCTTTTTTCACTGTAGTCTCAAATAGCATTACCTTTTAGCTGCCATGTCATGCCATGTACTAATATTGAGTTGGCATACCATGAAAAGACTCAAATCCTTTTCATGGGAACTATTGTCTTAGTCACAGTTTTGTACATGTGAAATTGATTTTTTTAAACCCAAGTAGAGAATTTTACATTGATCCTAGTTGAGAACGATGCTGAAGATGATCATAATAATGATTGTTTTAAGGTTTTCAAAGCACTCTACATATAAAGATCTCATTTGTTCTTCACAACAACTCGATGAAATAGGTGCTATTATTGCCCCCATTTTACAGATGAAAAAATCAAGCAAAAGTGAGGTTAAATGACTTTCCCAGAGTCACTTAAAGCTGGTGTCTGAGGTATAATTTGAGCAAAGTTCTTTCTAACTTAAAATGCTCATCACTCAGTTGGAATTTCCTTCCCAGATTAGTCTATCAGTTTATTTCTTTTTTTTATGTTCACCCTGACTTCTGGACCCCCTAATACACAATTCCTTGTTATCTCTCTGAATGATTATTTCTTGGTAGGTCACTCATTTTCCAAGACCAAACTATATAAAGGCGGAAGGCTGCAGGGCAGAAATCTGCTTGGGTGAAACAATAGGTAAGAATGGAAATGAAGACTTTTGCTTCTTCCTCAACACTTGGCATTTGAAAATGGGGGTAAAAAGCACCTCATAAATGTTAAGGGAAATAAGATATTTGTATTTTTCCCATAGCACGGAGTAATGAAAAAAGTGCTAGATGTGGATGCAGAAAACATGAGTTTAAGTCTTGGCTCTGATTTGGGGAAGCCATTTAATACTTTGGCTTTCAGTTTTCTCAGCCTAATGTACACTTATTCATACAATGCACTCATATGTGTAACACATATGCATACATGCATGCATGTGCATATACACACATGTGGATATATATTATTAATGGGTACACACATATTCATGCATTGGGAATTCCCAAAATATAGATATCATTACTTTATCCTACCTTTTCCTTGATATTCACATGAGTATTGAGTTCAGCCATTTTTCTCTTAGTGGAAATAAGACCTATAAAGAAGAAAATAGAAGAAAGATTAACTTTACAATTCTAATGTTAACTTCTCCATGTTATTCTTATATTTTTCCACACCATAGTATACAATTTCCTTCTGCTTAAGGCATAAATATTTCCTAATTTTTTTTAATTAAAAAAATATTTCAAAGCTAAAGCTTTACTTCGGATATGCTCTACAAACACATTGTAGTAACTCTTATAGGCAATGTAATGACTTTCATTCAGATTGTATGGAAATGAAACTAACAAAGATAGATGGACATAGAGCCAAAATTTATCTCTTCATATTCTATACATAAAAGAGTGGGAGTTAGAGGGAAATGAGGATGTAACTAAGATGGTACACATTTATGCTGGCTCAAAAATAAACTATATTCATATTTGTCATTATGAAAATGTTTTTTTATTAAGTACCTAATTCATTTAATAATTATTCAGTGTATGTCTGTGGGCTATGTAAGATTATTCTAGCATTACAGGAAGAAGTGGACCCTGACCTCAAGGAACTTGCACTCTAGTTACAGAACTAGTGCTAGGATTTGAATAGTAAATACCATGTGAAAGTCAGGTAAATGAAAAAAGTTTCCTACACAGGATGCTTTTCTCCAAACCTGCTTCTTGAAATTACCCCAACTGAGAGGTCTAGGTCACATTTCTATTAATGAGCTATTTTTTTTAGAGTCAAGGGTAGGGTTCCACTCTCCCTCTGCTCAATTACCAAGATTCTCTGGGCCCTGATACCTTTATCAGGTAAGGATGCCTCTTTGTTTGTTACAGAGTCAAGTGATTGATCAATGAACATGATATGTAACAAGACTCTATATCCTGAGGTATAAATTTCTTTGATTGAGTCAAGCAGGAAAAAGAAGAGTGATTGGCAAATCACATGAGCTAGCCAGCCTCCAGGAATATTATAGAGTGAACAACTTCAGCAGTTCCCTAGTCAAGAGGGGTTCAACCCAGTAGAAGAAGATTTAATCTTGAGACCTGAGGATTCTAGTTTGAGTCAAGGCCCTGAGAAGAAATTGCTCTTGGGAGGTGAGGAGGCAGGGGTAGAATTTCACACTATTTCTCCTCTCCCTTTCACTGAGCTTGTCACTGGAGAGGAGAGCACAGTAGGAAATTACATTCCCACTGAGAGCAGAGAGACACACTGAGAACAAACATGGGCACAGACAGATATAGGAGGACAGCCACCAAGAAAGGAAGCACCTTCAGAGAGTGTAACTCCCATGGCAGGGAGAATGTTGGATATGGAACCTCAGAGCCCAGTGGAGAGTTACATCTAAGGAGACCTTTTTGAGGACTTTACGAAGGGAAGAAAAGATTTCCAGTAACTAGGAGTTAGGAAATATTTCATTGCCACATTTCATCTCTGAATATGTGCCTATCAATTGCCCTTATTTTGAGGCTACTCTTTCCAGGGACTGTGTGTGTGTGTGTGTGTGTGTGTGTGTGCAAAAGTAGACTATGCTCCAGACTTTTTTTGCAGTAATTTTTGTACCCACTGTTCTTCCTAATAACATCTTATTAAGTATCTGTTAAGAGCAAATTAAGACTACTGGCTATTAATCAATAGTAAGTACATCAGTTGTAGATCACGAGCAACAGTAGCAGAAACCTCAGTTCCTCAGGGTTACCTCTAGAATTCTGAGTACATAGTAAAGCTAGTAGCCCCCAAGCTGGCCACTGATCACATGGGAGTTGGCGAAGTATTTGGGGGAGTACTACCTGAACATCTAATCTAAATTTGTCACAGCTATGGAAAATCATTGCTAAGTTTTTAATGTCATTGAGCTCCTCTAAGCAAAGGATAAAGGGCTTAAAATGGAGAAGTAGATGAGTTGTAATGCAGGAGAAAGATAACTAGGGGGGCCTAGACGGTCATACATTAGAAACATTTAACACTGTAGTCAAACAACAATTAAGTAATGGCTATTGACACCCATTCCTATAATTTTCTGTAAGTTTTTGCTGTATGTAGTTTTCTTGGGGAGAACTAAAACACACTTTAAGTAACTGGTAAATATTCTCAGTTTCCTCTCAAGAGATCATAGTTAGAATGTAATTTCAAATCCAGTTTTGCTGCTCCTTGGTTGAAAGGACTGGAAAATGTGTCCTTAGTTCTGTTACCACTCAGTAAACTCTTTCCAAAACAAGAATTTAAAGAGGAATTCTACTTTATAATGTTATCCGCAAGCTAAATTAGTTTGTAGATGGTCTAAAAACATTTTTCACTCCTTTGTTTCCATCGCTGTAGAAGCAGAAATAGGTTTTATAGATTTGTAGTACATCTGGTATTTTCTCTGTTTCATTCATTGCCACAGCCAAAAAATTTATCACCAAGTGGCCTGCCTGCTGGTGATAAGACAATCCATATTTATCTATACAGGTCTTCAGAAAGCAGCTAGTCAATTGCTAGGAATACATATTAGTGGTCCAGTGACCAACAAGTGGACATATTATTGGAGAGAATGAAACATGTCAATCTTAATACTCTCATTATAAACAAAACCAGAAGAAAAATGGAAATTAAAGCTAAATGTAAAGATACAGGTTCTCCTAAGAAAGGCAAATAACTGAGTAAATGAAGTTGGTTTTAGTTTATGTACAAAGGCAAGAATAATCCATAATATTATGGGACACTTGTTCATCTTGTATTACCGTGCTTATGATAAGGATTTGCAAAAAGACCACTCTGAAAATAATTACAAATTATGCAGCAACATCTGTTGCTAGGGATAAATAAGTAGAGAAATTCTACTAAGAATTTGATAAGAGCATCTAAATTGTCAATATTTAATATTCACTGACTTCAATGCAAAGGTAAGCATAGGGAAAGAAGGTTAAAATATGTTAGAAAATGTGGCTCAGAAGTAAGAATCAAGACTAGTCAAAACTATACAAAAGTTTCACACATATTCATTAATTTTTTTTTTGAGAAGGCAGTTGGGAGATTCTGGACATGGTGAGCACCAAATAGCATCACAAAAAATATAATGGGTTATATTCTAACATTCGAGTACTTATTAGGTGCCTTCTATGTATTAGACATTGTGTTATGGTTAAAAAGAGAAATAGTAAATAGCAGTAGGACTCATTTTTGAACCAGATATCTATGAATATTGTTAGACTATTTACTTGTAACATTAAAGAACAAAATTAATACCAGACTAGAAGAAAGAGTAAAAACAGGAAGCTATAGTGCACAAATAAAGCAACTCCAATAGGACAGCTACTGGCACCAGAAAATAGGAAGTAGATAAAAGAACAATCATTTAAAAGACAACATTTAACAGGTAGGTGGTGCAGTGGATAGAGTGCTAGGCCTGGAGTCAGGGAAACTCATTTTCCTGAGTTCAAATCTAGACTTAGACATTTACTAGCTGTGTGACCCTGAGCAAGACACTTCACCCTGTTGCCCTCAGTTTCTTCATCTGTAAAAGGAGCTGGAAAATGAAATGCCAGACTACTCCAGCATCTTTGCCAAGAAAACCCTAAAAAGGGATCATGAAGACTTGGACACAACTTAAAAATGACTAAACAACAATTTCTGAAGGAAGTTTAACCAACATGAATCAATTGCCACAATAAAGGGACCAAAAGGGCCTAGAAAATGCCTCAGCCAGCATGGTCTCTCTTCTTGCCACACAAAAAGATAGGGAGATAAGGGAAATACTGTTTTAGAGTACAGACTCATTTATAAAATTTTATAAAGGAAGATAGTGGAAGATTCTGAGCAGTATTGCCTCACAGAATTGAGAGAGGCAATGGAAAAAGCTTTATGGCAAGCTTTGTAAGAAACTCAGCTGCAGAATCTTGACAGGGGCACTTTTTAAGACGAATGTGAAGAGAGAGCAATGAATAGAGGAAAATGGGAAAGATAGTGAAGATTCCTAGAACAAAATCTTTTCTTTATCAATGACAGAAGAACCATTACAGTTTAGATGACCATCATTTTCTCCAATATGCTGCATGAAGAAGTAGGAATGGCACAAAAGAAAACCAGGGTGAGAAGAGCTCTTGGAATGGATTAAGTATATACAGAGAACATCTCTGCTGCAGTGGATGAAATTCTGAGAGCACTGAGGAGTCAATTCTGTATTGGCAATGTATTGGCAATACACAGTATATTGGCAAAGAATAGGCCGTCAAAAGCTTGGGAAAAACTCAGACTTTAGTATTGCCAAAAAACGTCAACTGACAAAATACCAATAACTGTGCTCATATCTATTTTCCCATCTCTATAAAATTTTATCAGACTTTCTGCATACACATAAAGAACATCCAGATGAGATAAGAGAAGCTAACAAGGCAAGCTTTTGCAAACAATATTCTATAGTAATACAAAATTCTATCATGGTTATAATTTTTTAATCTAAAAAAACTTTTAATTTGGTAGAACAAATGATGACTTTGAAGGCTTTTCTCCAACAAAAATTCAAGTATATGTCAAAATCATACAAGAATTCTTGAAAGATATAACAGAGATAACTTTGCTGAACAATCTTCTGATTACTAATATCCAGTGTCTCAAAAATTCTCGTCAAAGGTGTTTGCCATTGTCATGAAGAATGTCCAGCATGGGGTCTAAAAGGAAGAGATTCCCTGCAGGTATGTGAGCTTCCTTAGATACTTTGTTTACAGATGACATTATGCTACTTTAGCAAGATTTAGAACATTCCAGAATTGCTTAAATGAAACCCATAATTACTTCAAAGATTTTGGCCTAACTATTCAAACAGGAAAAAAAACAAGTGAGTGAAGAGTGCCTATTGTGCAGATTATGACATGATTGGTTCACCAGTAGATATATTTTGGGAAGATAATTCGTGAAGGAATGGGCCTAAAACTGAATAGGAACAAAAGTGAGGTAGATTGAATTTGGAAAATTATACAGTGCTTTTAATGATCACAATCTTCCCCCTGAAACAAAGGCCATTTTAAAGATTTTAAAAAATAGTTTTAAAATAATTTAATAATAATTTAATGT